AAAATCAACAAGCAACTATAAACCAGAGACCACACTGTGGGGGGGTGGGGGAGGGAGGGAAGGAAGGACTAGAGTCAAAATAAGGGGGGAGGTGCAATTGTATGGGGAATATAACCAAAATGAAAATGCATACATTGTGCAAAGATGAAAAAAGATATAAGAATTATATAAAATAAAATATTTAAATTAAAAAAAGAAAGAAGTTTGGGCTTTAGAAACATCTATTCATGATTTAAAATAAACAAACAAAACAAAACTTGCCCCAAACGAAACTCTCCTTAACTTGATAAAGGCTATCTTTAAAAGTAAAAAAATGTATGATTTTAAATAGTGAAATTTGAAAGTATTTCCTTTGCAATCAGGAACAATACAAGAAACAATACTGTGAATGTCTACAGATATCTGAGATAGTATAGTAATAGTTCAGGGATAGACAAACAGACCAAAGGTACAGAAATGAAACTCTCTCTCTCTCTCTCTCTCTCTCTCTCTCTCTCTCTATATATATATATATATATATATAGTTCAGAAACTACATATATACATAGTTTTTTTGCATAAATCATGTTTCCAAATATATATGTGTGTATGCAGTTTATACTACATACATAGTTTATACTACATATATATATGTAGTTTCATTTCTATACCATTGGTCTGTATAAACTACATACATATATATGTAGTATAAACTATGTATGTAGTATAAACTACATACACACATATATATGGAAACATGATTTATGCAAAAAAATTTAAACATCAAGGAAAAAATGAAGGACTATTGCAATACTATTAGGATAATCAATTATCAATATGGAAAGGCTGAATTCATACTCAGTACTTCTTATACAAATCAGTTACTAAGAGATTTATAAATTAAATGTGAAATGCAAAGCCATAATTTTTAGTTAAAGAATTATCTTCATGACTCCTGGGTACGAAAAGATTAAGATAAACTATAAGGGGAAAAATTTATATATTCAACTACATTAAAATTAAAGACTGTTGTAAGGTATAAACAGATTATATTCAGTTGTGTTTGGGGCAAGGAGACAAGTTATAGAGAATGCCATCAAAAGTTATCAAGGTGTACATGAGAAATGGCAAACAACCAACTGAATCCAAAGATTAAATTGTTTTAATCTTTTAATTTTCCTCCATATTTTATAAATTAAACAGCAATCATGTCAAGACAAGCAGGCTATCTGATTAAGGAAAAAAAAAAACGTGATGCTAATGTAATATAGGGTTGCCAATGTTTCAACTACTTTATTTCTTAAATAGATTATACATTTATGTCCTCATTTAAGATCAACACATTATTGTAGGGATTTGGAAACAGGATTTAAAAAAAAATACCCTCATGGTTCACCATCTATATCAATGTTTATGTCATATCTCATTTCAAATATTAGCAATGATGCCCATAATAAAATCTAAATAGTGTTTCAGTTAAATGACCCGATCTTTTCCATTGCTCCTTGAATCGTACTTTTTTTACAAAATGACAGAACCTATTTTTGGATGCTTCAGGGAAAAAATAATGTACTAAGGTAAGATCTCCCTTGGAAAGAATAAAAACATTAAAAATAAAAAAAGAAATTAAAGAAAATACTCCACATAAACACTTCCAAATAATTCTGAAATTAAAAGTGCCAAAGAAATAAGCACAATTACAAGGAATACATCATTCACTTGGGAAACTACTAACATTGTATAGATGACTAAAAGGAATATACTGGAAAGATCATTTCAACAGTCATTTTAACAATATGAAAGTATGTGTCCAACAAGCAAAATAAATTCATTCCCATTTCATCCAACATCAAAACATCCTCCCCTTCACCCAAAACACACATATACATATAAGTAGAAGTTTTCGATCTAAACTGTAAGCTCTGGCTCACATGAAAACAAAATGATTTTAACCACAAACAGACTTGTAGTTTCTACATGCTGCCCACACAGCATTTTGTGAGCATGTGATTAGGAGGAATGATGCACAATCACACCACATTCCTTCCCTCAGCTCACACATCAAGAACTTGCCCTCCCAGCTGCATTTTTCTCCAAACAGCCATGGTCACCTTAGCAACCCTATGCTCCTAATATGGACAGCTGGTCCATTTAAAGTCAGCCCTTCTTGGCAGGAAAAATGCTTGTTCTTCAAATTGGGGGAGAGAGGAGAGGTTTTCCTTTCAATACACATTACAGGGGTTGATTTAACTTGATCAGCACTTTTGTTCTGTGGCAGCAATTTGTGTCGAGTTTCAATCTATTCTGAGTTTTGAGGTTTGTTTTTTTTTTTTTTAATCTAAAAGCAAGTAACTAAAAATTAAATCAAGGCAGCTCATATGGAATTCTAAAGCAGAGTAGAACATGAAACAAAAAGGTACCTGAACCAATTGTATTCTTTAATAAAATGTCACTACTACCCACTTTTTTTAAAGTTCAAGTTTACTTAAATTGAATGGTAAAGTCTAAGCCATCATATACAATAAGAAACCAGTCAGAAGACCTATGTTTTTAATATCATTGTCTGCTTTTAAACAAAAACACTGTTAAACTTCAAAGTCCTATAATGCCAATATAGGCAATAAAATATAACTTAATCTGTATTATTTTACCCCACCACCTACTTGTGAAATCTCTCACAATCTTTCAAAGACTCAAATGTAAAGTAGATATTGAAACCAAATGGTTAGTATATTCAAGGATTCTCCAGGCTTGGATTACTCAAAACCAATTTTGACCTGTGCTTATACCACTAAAGCTAGGCCTGAACAAGATTAAGACTTTCAGGATAAAAGATACAGGTTTATAATACAATTTGCCTGATTTTCAACCTATAAACAATTTGGGGTAAGAGGGTTACCATATTCCAAAATACATGACACCAACTCTTTAAATGCTTAGGCATGTTCAAAAGCAAAAAAAATCTTTGATATTTATTCAAAATTGGAAGTATTTATGAAAAATCCTCCATCTAATAATGATGGACAATATCCATATTAATTGATTAAATACTGTTTTAGTGAAACGAAAGGTTAAAGTGACTACCACTTATTCATTAGTTATGTTTTTCTTTGTACATGTGTATTTTTCTTAAACTTCTCAGGCTATGAGACACTTCATGGTTAGAAACATTTCTTTATAATTAAAACTATCTTTGTAATTATACCTTCTATATCGAGCAAAATATCCATTGACAGGGTGGCAGTAAAGATTAGTAAAAAGTATCTAAAGCTAATTCCATTACTGGCTTCCTCATTTGTAAAATGAGAGTATTATCTGTTCTGCTTATGTCTTGTGTTAAGATATTGAAGTGAGAATAATGACTTTACTATGCCATACAAAATACTCAAAAATTAAAGAAACTAGACTAAGAGACTATGTTTGTCACCTGATGTCTAATTTAATGAACAGTTATTTTTTAAGAATGGGGGAAATACTAAGCAATGCATGGGATACCAAATTAATATCAATTTTTAAGAGTTGTTTATCTTCCTACTAAAGATCTTATAAATACTTAAGTGTCAACATATAAATAACTATATCTTCAAAAAGTCTCAACACAAGCTTCACTTTTAGCAGATATGAATTCCCTTTCTATTCCTCTAAATCAGTTTCACATTTCCTACTAGGCCCCCAGAACTAAGTGCCTCTAAGATCCCCCTCTCGTACGAAAAACTGCGCCCAACTAGGTACCTTTAGCTTCTTCTACCAGATAGAAGCCGCTCCCTGATCTGATCTCTGCTGTCATTATCCTCCTCCTAATGTCAGCACCCATCCCACCCTCTCACAGAGGTCTCCCTCTCCAGTCTTCACTGTCTCTGGTCTTCACTATGAGGCAAACCATCACTACAGACTTGGAAGTATCATCACTCTGACAATTTCTAGTTAGGGAATACAAGAGAATTTGCTTCTCCTGACATTGTCGTGCAGCCACTGAGCAATGCCCTAAGTACTATGGATAGGCTCCAGGAGTCCTCCCAAAGTCCCTCAAAAGTAAGAAAAAAATAACAGCAAGGAGTTTCACAAGAAACTTGGAAATGAAAACTATTAGTAATTTGCTCTCCCTTCTTCCTCATCACCTAGTGGTCCCTTTATTGTAACCCCTGTTATCAGTTATCAACATAAAATGTGATAAACTGATGTGATAAACTAATTCTAGGGCAGTAACAAAAAGGTGGAAAAGGTATGTTTGAGAATACATGTTCTCCTTAGGACATAGTATACTGAAAAAGGAGAATGAATAATAGGGGTATGGGTATAAATACTTTATTGAATACTTTGTTTTACAAGCATTTCTAGTTAACAGACTGAAAATCTACAGTGAACCCTACAACAATACCAAAAAGTTCCCAAGAAAATTTGACAAAATGACTTCTTATTGCTACCAAGAAATTAAGTTCCTAGCATACAGTAAGCACACCAATAGGAGATTTTACTGTCTACTCACTTGAACATTTCATCCTTCAGAAGTCTAACATGTATAATAATGTAAATCAATGATTTAAATTTCATTGTAAAGGTGATCATTCGGGAATTTAAAAACAAATATATATATATATATATATATATATATATATATATATATAATTAAATAACCTCCTTTAATTGAAAGCTCTCACGAGAGAATCAATATTAAACCCTTCACTCCCCCAAATCAGTTAGACAATGTTCACTGAGGTAAAGATGAATGAGGCCAATGGAAGAGAATAACACTTTTCCTAAAATGTACACCCACTCCTAAGGATGCTAGGAATTAGCTCTAACCATGACAAGTACTATGTAAAGCTCAAAAGTGATCATTTTTACCTCACCCTTTTAATCCTAAATTGAAAGTGGGTAAGCTGTGTCTTGCTGGCAAATTCTGAGGTAGTAAATAGTTAACAAATTTTTGAGAATCATGGTGAAAAGGATTTTAAAAATCAAATGCAATTAAATCTTTATTCAACTACAATTGTTTCACTACTTTATTAACAATTTCTTACCTTGTGGAATTATCTTCTGAGAAAAAGAGATACAATTTTGCTCCTAAAAAAATGTCAGATAGAAAAGTTAGTTGCAAAACATAAGGTCTCTTGAAAATGAAGTTACAAAATAGCTACTACAGTAAGTAGATCAGAATATTATAATATTTGGTGGTACCAAATACTGAGACAGTAAGTCCCTAATAATAAAAGTACTTTATTGTATTTATAAAAATAAAACCTACTGCATTATTTATTATACTATAAAATTTATTATTCTATGATTACAAAAATACTGCTTTACTGATTATCAAGTCACCTTGGTAGAGTACAAAATGACATCTGGCATATTTTCACATTCTAAAAACATCAGTACTCAGTTGGGTTTTACTCTTGCCAAGATTCAATATTCTGAAAGGTAATTTTTTTCCCCTTAGGTATAATCCACATCATAAAATTCATCCTTTTAACATGTAAAATCAGTGATTTTTTACTATATTCACCAAGTTGTGTAACCATCACTGCCATCTATTTCCAGAATACTTTCATCACCCCAGTAAGAAATGCTGTACTGAAGGGTATGTTTTCATTCCCAAGAAGAAACATCTGAAACAAATTTAATTTTAAAATATATACAAGAAGCATACTCTTTACAACGTTATAAGCAAAATCATGTCCTTTTTAAAAAAATGTATAGAACAAAGACTGATCAGTAGGGAAAAAATATCAAAAAATTATGAGTAGATATATTTGGTAGTGGTGCAATACTCTTTTTCATGTATTTCCTCTTAAACTGTAATTTTATAGTATTACTTTAATGGTACTTAAAAAGGCACAGCACAGACATATTTTTCCTAGAATTCTATGCTAGAATTTGTAGTACAATCCAGAGTAAAAACAGAAATACAAGTTGAGACTTGAAAAATGTATACTATATTTTTTTATAAAATACTTTTCAAAGTAGATAAAATGCACATAAAGTTAAAAAAAGTTGGCAATACTTACTAATCTGGTTGAAAAGCCACAGTTGCATCTTAGTTTATGACAAATTGACTGTTTCATCACTTTTGCATCTGGGCATCTACTTCTTAATGGTCATTTCTGAAATAAAAATGTAGTAATTAAGACCATAACAAGAAATCATATTTTTAAGGGAATTATCTAAATTTTAATGACTATAGGGAATTATCCAAAGAGTTCTTGAGCAACTTTCTAATAAAAAGACATTAACAGAGCTGAGGGATGAAATACAGACTATCACCCCACAGGACTAGAATTATACAGTTCTGCTATAAACACTGAGCATAAAAATGTATGGCCTCTCCAGTACTCAATATTGTGCCCTTTTATAGGCGTGAAAAATAAAAAATAAAGATGGAAAAGAGAAGTCCTAAAATTGCACATTTGAAAACAATACTACTTCTATACCACCTTTACCACCCATTTCCACTCTTACCACCATGGTACATGCCACCTTATTTCTCACCTACATTACTATTATAGTTCTCTCTCTGATCTCCCATTCTCTCCCACTGCTCATCTCAACAGATCAGTCGGATTATTCCTTTTAAAAAGAAAGTCAGGGGCCTCCCCTGTGGCCCAGTGGTTGAGCGCTGGGTTGCAAAACTGCCCACAGCCTCTGCAGCGCCAGTTCGATCCCCAGCCCCTGCGAGGGTCCCACATGGTACGCAGACCTCTCCAGTCGCTCACTGCTCCCCTCAGCAGTGTACTTTGTCACTCTGCCTGTTCTACTCTCCGCTCTGGCTCTGGCGAATTCTCTCACCCTCCCGCGCCTCTGACTACCCAGTGCTTGTATAAATAAATAAATCCTTTTTAATAAATAAATAAATAAATCAATCAATCAATCAATCAATCAATCAATCGAAAGTCAGGGGCTTCCCTGGTGGCGCAGCAGTTGAGCGCTGGGCTGCCCGCAGCCTCTGCAGCGCTGGTTCGATCCCCGAACCCTGGCGAGGGTCCCACATGGCATGACAGACCTCTCCTGCTGCGCCCGCTGCTCCCCTTAGCAGTGTGTTTCATCAGTCTGCTGTTCTGTTCCCCGCTCTGGTGAATTCTCTCACCCTCCCATGCTTCTGACTGTACCTAGTGCTTGTATAAATAAATCTTTAAAAAAAAAATAAAAAGAAAGTCAGATCATGTCATTCTGTTCAAATCCTGTGAGTTCCATCTCAACAGTTTACAGCCAAAGTTCTAACAAATTATCCAAAAGGACCATGATCTGATCTTCCCTTTCTTATCTCTCTAAACTCATCTCATACTACCCCCATCTCCTCCCTGGTCACTCCATTCTGGAAATATTGGACACTTTCTTTAAACACATCATGCATAGTTTCACTTTATGACTCAGAACCTGCTTTTTCCCTCTTCTTAGAATACCAGATAAATCTCTAGCTTATTCCTCCTCCATTTTTTTTAGGAGTTGTTTTGTTTTGTTAAGTTATCTCAGCAAAGAGATTATGACCTGGTATCCAGGAAGGTCCAAAGTATCTGTGTTCGATTTCCTTATCTGACAGAAAATACATAAGGAAAAATAAGTCATAAATTTTGGAGACGTAATCATGTGAAACACAAATATCAATTTTCATAGCTTTGTGTCTAAACATCTAGAGTTATACCATCTCTTTTAAGTGATTCTTATGGTCCAACTTCAAAGATAAATGAAGAGTTATCAGTGAGCCTTTTTTTTTTATGGTTGTTTTGTTTTTAAATCATCCATACCCTAACTCTATAAAGGTGTAGTCAGATTTTAATTAAACGAATCCTATTAAAAAACAACTAGCAAAATAAATGACATTCCCTCTCCACCCACCTTTTAGGGATTTCTGTCTGGGATAATCTTATAAAGTTCAAAATAATCTCAGCAAGTTTGACTATTTTCAAATTTATCTGTTACCTTTAGACATGACCACCAGAAAGATTCAAAAGAATTCACTGACTCTCACATGACTAGACTAGCTGAGACATGATAGGGATGTTTGAACTTAATTATTTTTCTTTTAATAAACAAATTCCCCCTGGGCTAAGGCCTACTCTGTCTTGTAAACATCCAGTGGCTGGCAAGTTTCAGGGTTTTAAGAGAGATAGCCAGGGGACAGAGAAAACAGCAAGTATGACTCAATGATCACATTTAATAGTCTCTGAAGACCAAAACAAAGATACCAGTTCTGGCAAGAGTCATCTAGAATTGCCCCAAAACTGACTTATCCACATACCTTTCATCTGAACAATTTATTTTCACTCAGCTTAAGGTTCACAAAGCACTTGTTATGTGCCTATCAGACTTTAGATGCAAAAATAAACCAAGAGCAATCAACTTCTAAGAGAGAGTTTAGTTAAAATCTGCTTTGTTTGAGGAGGAGGCCAAAAACAGACTCTTGGATATTTTTGTGCAGAAAAACCCCTACTCATTTGGAAATCAGTCTTTAGCAAGTTCAACCACTTGAAAGAAGGCCAGTGATTAATACTGAAGTAACCTTTACTGAGCAACTTCTGTATGCCAGATATTTACATTAGCTCACATAATTCTCAGAACTTCCCTATGGAAAAGGTATTAACAAAGCACAGAGAATGATCAAATAACTCATCCAACCAGAAGGAGAGAGCTCCAGCATGCAAAATCTCCATCTTTATTATTGTAATGTGCAGTAATGAATTGGAATAAAATTATTAGTCACAAATACCACATTTGCCTGGTAGGAGTAACAACTAAATCCAAGCTGCTCATTTAAGAAATTTGTTCCATTCTTCCAACGTTGTCTAAGAAGATAAAAGGAGAAGGTCCACTGCTACACATTAATGAGAAATCTAAGGCATTAGGGGATGAATCAGAAGAATATACTACATACTATATTTAAGTCTAAGGAAAATGACTAGAAGTAAACTTGGCACGGCTCAACTCATGAATTAGTATTCACCGATATTAACCTGAACACTTCTAAGTGATTGATGGCTAGTTCAAACACTCTGAAAATCACTGAAGAAATGCAGGTACATAGGTGTTTACCATACGGGATTCTGTATTTTACTGGATGTCAGCAATATTTGTCTTTTTCTACCTTGGTGCAAGACAGATGGATGGATGTATACATGTACACACACATACATGTAATATACACATAATGCACATATTAAAGTATTCCATTCATTTTTAAATTTTACAAGAAAATTATTGGTGTTGTGATTCCTAATTTTAGTTTCCTGGAAAAATCTCTCAGGTCAAATATCTTAATTCCTGACATTATGGATAACACAGACCTTGCTTCTTTATATTCAACAGAATCAGACCTTTTTACTAGTTTCTACTGAGGTAACATCAGTTTACAAAACTGTTAGAAGTATCGATCACACTTCTTCAAATGTATGCTATCATACCATGTCCACCACGAAAGTACCAGTAATCTGCCATAGTTCAATGAACTTCCTCCCCTTCTTTGCCCCCTTCACCCCACCCCTGCCCTATCCTCTAGGAGAAAAAGTTCTGCAGTCAGATTTCAAGAGTTTGTTTTGACATTATTTTGCCTGTTTCTTTACTTTGTTTCTTTATGCCCACAAGTGAATTAATCTGTTATCCATCCTTCTCCTTCTGACTTATTTTATTTAGCATAATCCCCTTCAATTCCAACCATGTTGTTACAAATGACAAAATTTCATCTTTTTATAGCTGTGTAGCATTCCAATGATAAATCCATTTCCCCAAAGCACTCAATATATGCTACACCTGTTTTCTCTGAACTGCTGCTATGAGATACTATTTCTTCTAAAATCCACAAAATTTTTAATTACATTCATCAAATAATTCAAAGGAATTTAGTGACCCTCCATTACTATGACTCCCTCTCATTACACATGACATACCTTCTTAATATTCTGTATTTAAATGGCATGTAGGGAAAAAATGCTAGGAAGGAGAGTGAGAAAGACAAACCACATATATCGGCCATATTAGAAGTAACAGAACAGATTTTGAGGAGGGGTGGTGAAATAAGATCATTTTGTATTTTCTAAGTGTATACAGTACACAGCCAATGAGCAAAGAACTTAAGTTCACATTATAAAATGGTACTTTCCTACAGAATTACCCATTCCAACAAATTTGGGCTTAATATATGTAACACATGTAATTACAATAGATTGCAATGCTTAAGAGTTTAAATGAATATATGAATTCTGAGTATAGTACATAAATTCAGGGACATGAGAAACGGCTCGTGTGTCCTTCAGAAATGACAGAATTCCAATTAAGTAACTTGGTGCAGCTTCCTTGGTGCAGCTCTGTAGGACAGTCTGGCTGGATGGATCGCTGCTCTGGCTCATTGTGGTACTTCACACAGAGATTAATTTTTTTTTTAAGATTGATTGATTTATTTATGCATACAAGAGCTGGGGTACAGGCCAGAGACGCAGGGGGTGAGAGGATTCACCAGAGACAGAGTGGGGAACAGAACAGGCAGAATGACTGAAATACACTGCTGAGGGGAGTAGCGGACAAGACAGGAGGGGTCTGCCTCACCATGTGGGTTGCTCCCTGGCCAGCTGGAGATTGAACTTGTGCTGCAGAGGCTGTGGTTTGCTTTATAGTGCGGTGCTTAACCCCTTGCACCACCAGGGAGGCCTATATACAGACTAATCAAATCCACCATTAGGTAATGGCCAGAAAGATAGAAACTGTGACTATGCCAACATCCTATTTTCAACCTGGTAGTTTAATAAAAGGCAACTGCCCATTTGAGGATTGCTGCTCCACTGAAACCATTCGTAAATGAGACATAAATCTCAAAGTAGTGGCAAAGCAGAGTACATAACATCAATTGCACTTACACAAAAATCATTGTATACAGCTTGCATTGGACCAAAAACAAAAGCGCATAGAGAAATAAGAGTTTTAAAAAAAAAATCTATATCCTAGGAAAGATCAGATTGAGGCAAGAAAAAAAGCATAATATACCCAATATTAAAAATGTTACACAAAAATCACTTTTAATTTCATTAACATTTTCCTTATATCAAACATTTCTCTAGCACCAACCCCTATTTTGACTGTCTGCAACAGTATGTATGTGGAATGGCACTTGATCTACTTA